AGTGTGATTTGCATCTCTTCTGGCAGTGTGGACATAGCCTATGCATGCTGAATAATGTCTTCCCTTTTTCTTTCCAGTCCACTCCACTGTTCCTTTCTGTGGTGTCTCTAACCTTTTCTATATCTTCAGACAATGTTTTCTGTCTTCAGACAATGTTTTAACTAACTCCTCTGCCTTGCTTGGCCCACATAAGCACAGAACAAAAACAATCCTGTCCAGCGTGTGTCTGTCTGAACATGTGACTTTAGTCTGCTCACAATCAGAAATTGAAAGCCCAAAACTTTCAAGAAGCAAGATCTGGTTGTTAGGCTGAACAGAGTAGAACATTGTTATGAAAGTGTAGGTGTAGCATGTTCTTGATAAGATTTAATTTTAACTGTTATTTTTAAATGAGATTGATCATTTTAAAGATAAAAATAATCCAATTAAAAAAATTAAATAAAAAAAACGTCGTTTTATTTTATTTTAAAAAATTAATGATTTTTATTCACCCTGATATCCAGTGGTGCTAATGAGTGGGAGACACCTTTTTCATTCTGAGATAGGGCAGGTTCGGCAATGAAATCATTTCCTGGAGACTTGGCTATTTTTTGCTCTGTACCAGATTTCAAATTTCAGGCACTTAATTGTTATTTTGATTTTTTTTTCTTCTGAGCACTGGAAATCAGTGACCCTGCAAATAATCTATTCCTTCCTTCCTGCTGGCATCTTTTGTTCAGTACTGACTCATTTCTTCATGCCTCCATGAAAGCATCATTAAGGGTCCCTTTGTGAAGAGACCAGAAATGCTCCCCCACCCAAGTCAGAAGCCTCATCCCATCTGTCTATTCTTAATATTGCATTCCATAAAACCATATTTGATTAGATATGAATAATCATAGAATCAGAGAACACTAGAACTGGAAGGGACCTCGAGAGGTTATCGAGTCCAGTCTCCTGCCCTCACGGCAGGACCAAGCACTATCTAGACCATCCCTGATGGTCTGTCATTTAAAAATACTATACAGTATCTAACAAAAAATCAGAATGTCTTTCAATTGTATGAGCTGATCTAGTCAGTGTACGTTTAAACATCAATATAAGGATCCTTCTTAGGATCTGTCTAACCATTATAGATACTCAGCAATAGTCAGCTCTCCCTGGTGTTTTCATGGGTTGTCCATGAGCAGTAGCTGGTACTGTTCAATTTTTGTGCAAGTCAGATGATTAACAGCCTTTTCCTAAACTAGTAAGGTAAAGACATATTGAATTAATGTATTTATTTACATTCTTATTGAAATAGGTATGCTTTGAATGTGAAGAGGGAAAAAGGGATGCATTAAGAAAATCACCTTTAGCAAAATCATGGAATAGTTAGAGTTTAAGATGAAAGTGTATTTTATAAAAATCACCATTGTGGGCATACTTCTTATTTAAAAATCCCTGGGGTAATTCTAGGAGGCATTTAATCAGAATGAACCAAAATAATAACACTATTTTCTTTCTTACTTTATGCAAGCCTAATTACAAATTAATAATACCCTGAGGGAGGCCAAACTAATTGCTATAACATAAAATTGTTTGTAGAAATAGATTATTGAACCCAGTGGCAGCCTAGTAAGTGGAGAGAGAGAGCCTGTAAGCTGGTCAGCTCTGGGAGGGGCGCTTCCCCTTCGGGATTAGTGGGTGGCCACTTCAACCCACTACATCCGGGGGAAATTAACATATCAAATAACCAGTCCGGGGTCCCGTACTCGGACCTCAGGGCGGGGTGACAAAAGTAACCAATAACAAAGGCAGCCTTTGAATCTGTGGAACTCCTTGCTAGATGATGTTGTGAAGACTAGGACTTTAACAGGGTTCAAAAAATTCATGCCGGTTAAGTCCATCAATGGTTATTAGTCAGGATGGGTAGGAATGGTGTCCCTAGTCTCTCTTTGTCTGGACATGGATGACTGGAGAGGATCTTTGGTCTCACCCAGTATAGCTGTTCTTATGTTCTTAATCTAACCTCTCTTTTTTATTCAGTATTTTTCTGATGTTTGAGCACTTCCCTGCTCACCCGTAATATTCTCTTAATGGAATTTTTCATATGGCTTTGTGCTTCCTTCCGCAAAGTGCTCATGCTTCTTTCTCTCTTTTCAGACTTCCTCCAGTGTTGCTGCTGTTCTCCCACGGTGCTAGACATTCTCCCCTTTTATTTTCCCACACTGGCATTGCTGCACAACGTTCTTACACACCACATGCTCTTTTAGTCCCTCTGCTTCTTCAGTCTGGTCCATGCCATTTTCTGTTTCTCCTTTTTATTGCTTCCCCTTGCCTTTGTCAATACATTCAGCTGCTGTCTGTCTATGGGCCTCTTGGTTGCTGTTGAAGTAGCCCTCTCCCTTTTGCTGTCACTGTATCCTCTGATGTACTGGTCCAGTAGTTCTCCAGGGAATACTGTGGGGCTTCATTGATGCTGATTGAGTGCATCTCAGAATTAATAGTTAAGTTGTCACACCTGTGAATTTTGAGAATGTTTTAAAAAGGAGGCCTGTAATGTGTGTTCTAGAAAAGTATGATTGCCTTTTTAATGCAGCCTGATGCAAACTGTGCCCCTGAATCTGTGCTCCTTAGTTAGGCAAAAATAGCAGAAATTTGAGTGAGATTTTTACCCACATAAGAGCTGCAGGATGAGGGCTGCTGGTCACAGGGGTTGTTAAGTCATATAGCAA